GCGAGTCTCATGTGGGTTTAAATTATGTTTGTCCCCTATGCCGCTTATTTTGCTAGTTTTGTTCATTTTTTCCCATTAATGCTGAAAATTTTAATAAGTCTTTCACAGGTTTAATCAAAATTCTCTGAGCCACAGTTAACAACATACGCATATGACATATCACACTTCCAAAGATAGTAAAAAAAGTACTTATAAAAAAAACAACAATTGCAATACGTCACTGATATTAATTTTTTTCTAGTAAAATTAAGTAATTGAGCTATTTTTCTTACACAGTTGGTTCTTAAAATTTGGGTAATTTATATATATCGTGTTTATAACTTTAAAAGACACTCCAAGTTAACGCAAATAGCGTCCGATATCATGTTGTATGTCACATCTTGCTCAGTTTCATTTTCCATTGTTTGGAACTTATAATCTTAATTATAACTAAATTTCTATGAAATATTAAGGATACTTCACTCAGATTATTTTTTTTCACTTTAAATCACTTTTTGTTGATGCTTTTATTTACTAAAATGACTAGTATACCACTGTTACCACTTTCGTAATTTGCGTTTGTCTAAAAATGGTGAAAAACACACAGCATTCTTAAAACACTGATGGGCGTACTGTGTGGACAGAGGACGTTATAAGGGTAGCGGTCGAATCCCAACAATCTGTAAAACTAGAGTAAAACAAAAGTTGGCGATAGATGCTGTTGACTGCTGTCTGCCCTCACTTCTGTTAGTTCAAAATTAGGAACGGCTGGCGCACATAGCACTTAAGTAGCTTTGCGCGAATATTCGAAAACAACAACAACATCCGAAACACTGATAGTCTAAGAGTCGTGAACAGGCTTTGGTTCAGCCTGTATGTACGTGTTTGTGTGTATACGTGCGAGAGGTAGAGAGATTTAGTACAATCATTATGGTTTATCTTATATTCTAGTCAACTGTCATTAATCCGTAAAACTTACTCTAATAATTTCTGTTCTAGAAATAGCTTAGCTCTGAGTTAAAGTATTTGAGCACAGTTGTAGGCACATTTAATGTTGCACAATATCTTAAAGATTAAATTAATAAATTAGCAATAAACTCTTATTGTAACCACCTTTTAAACCTTTATTGACCAAACATTACTATTATGTTTTCAAGATCGAACACAAAACACATATGAAGTAATTAGCGGAATATCTGTAGAAATTCAGTTTGTTTGTTATCGGAACCCGGTTTATAGCGTTATAAGGTACTGAGGTACTGGGGGGGGGGGGATACAAATGAGTTAAGTATTCCTATCCATACTACAAGTTAAAACATTATATTATACAATTTTCGGACATACGTAACATAAACTAATGTATTTTGTTAAACTAATATATAATACATATTCGAATATTGTGTAACTTTTTTAATTCCAAAGATTTGTCCTGAATTGCGTAAAAAGTGACCCCGTTAAAAGTTACGTGTGTTCAACTGGATACAAACCCCAAACAATAGATCAGAAGTAAAACTCACAACTAATCATTTACCTTGTGCTTCATTTGAAACTGATTGTTACAATCAAAATTTCTTTTAAAATATATATATAGACATAAACTAATTGTGTAATACTTACAAGAACATAATTACATACCAGATAGTTATATATTTTCCATAGATGAAAGGAAATTGTTCTTTCTTTCTAGACATGATAATTTACTTCGAAACTATACATGAAAATCGCTTCTGGTGATGGTGAAAATGCCTATTCAAAGTTTATAAATAAGTGAACAAATACATGTAAAAAGAGAATAAACAAACAAAAAACTCCAAGATGAAAAAATAATCTATTCTTTTGCATTCTAAGTTATGAACGATGTTTCAGATTTTTAAAAATAAAATCGATATAAATCTTTTTCATAATAGTCTACGTTCTTGTATGCTTTTAATCTTGAGAATGATAGTATTTTAATAATTATGTGCTTGACAAGTAACACCATTTACAGATTTCAATATATAAATGTCAATCTAACGAGTTTCACATAAAACCTGTTACGAAGAAAAATGCGTGTACAATTTAAATAGCAAGAAAAGAACTGCGGTAAATACAATGGTTAAGATTATTGTAAAAATTAAGCGTTCACAGTTTGTTAAGTGTAATGGGTGCAAGGAGTGGCTTTTATTTGGGAACACGGGACTGGTATGTACTTTTAAGCAAGCTAGTAACGAAGATGTGCAATTTATATGACGAGTTTGTAGGTTGGAGGCAATAGATAAAGCGAAGTGTAGATTGTGAGAAATGGCAGCAGGATTTCAAGAGGAGCTTAAGTTTTTACATGCAAGGGATACATCAGCTAAAAATGACTTTCAGGAAGTTATAAAGAATAATATTAGGGCTAAAAGTAGAGAATTTATTTGTAATGAGTCTATTCTGTTGAGCAACAAATTTCATCCTATGGCTTCTGCAGATGAGGAACTATCAGAGAGACGGAAAACAAAAGGGTCAGAGAAGGATGTGGATGATAAGGAGGTTATAGTTATAGGTGATTCTTTGACAAGGCGTGAGGATAAGATAGTCTGT